GATTTAACGATGATATCACAATGCACATTTACCCACGCGTGTGTCGCTCACTGCCTAGGGTATGACCTCACACCTGTATGGTGCCTGATATACCGCCACACATGCTCACTACCATGCTTCCTGCTGGGCCGCTGCAGACATGAGCACAGCCTCACAGCCCTTCATAAGGACAGGCTCTACTTCTGTGTGAAATAGGAGGCGATCTGGGCAGTTGCCCATAGCTGTGTCCTGGTGCTCAAGTGATTTCTACAGGTTGGGATTCGTTCCCCGCTGGTTTCCATCAGCTCTCCCCTTGTGAAACATCTCAGCTAAAAGAGAGACAACACAGAATGCCAAATCAGGAAGAGATTGCTGAATAGTAAGGACGTTACAAGCCACCTTCACGCTCAGGTTGGTGACCCTTTGGTGCTGTGTCTGGGATGAGACCAGTTCTATTGTTACTCTAGAACACGGGTCAAAGATAAAACCGTTTTTCTGTAAAAGACCAGATAGTAAACATTTGCTGCTCCATGGGCCACATGGGCTATGTCACAATGACTCAACTCGGCTCTTGTAGCAGAGACCCGCCAGAGCGTATGTTCACGAATAGGTGTGGCTGTGTTCCGATAAAACTTTATTTACAAAAGCAGGTGGTAGGCTGGATTTGTCCCACAGGCCCCACCCTAGATTACGCTCTAAATTGTTCATCATGCTCTTTTAGAATTATTACCATTACCATTTGTTCACTATCCCATTCTTTTGTCTAATAACAGGTTGGTTTATTTTTAAAAGCAAGACGTTGTTCCAAAAGCCATTTTAAAAGATGTCTACTGGGGCACCTGAGTGGCTCAGTTGGTTAAGCCTCCGACTTCGGCTCAGGTCATGATCTCACAGTTCATGGGTTCGAGCCCCGCATCGGGCTCTGTGCTGACAGCTCGGAGCCTGGAGCCTGCTTTGGATTCTGTGTGTCCCTCTCTCTCTCTCTGACCCTCCCCTGCTCATGCTCTCTCTCTGTCTCAAAAGTAAATAAACATTAAAAAGAAATAAAACTAAAAGGTGTGTGCAGTGTGGGGCAGGAAGGAGGTGCATACGTGTGCCTGGCACATGGCGGCTTGGAAGAGTGGCCCAGTCCTTCCCCCGGTCACACTCGGCCCTGCTGTTACGAGTCCCCGTCTGCCACGCTCACGCCGTCCTGCACAGCCAGGACCCCTCCCACATGGCCCCTACATCCCGCATCCAGCCTGGCCCTGGGGCTCGGGGCCGCTGGCTCTGCCCCTGTGCGGTTCCCTTCCTCCTGTGACGCAGGCTGAGTCCGTGCTGACTCCAGCCCCTCTTTTGAATCTTTTTATTTTCCTACCCAAGCCACTGAGTCAAATCTGCCATTTTCAGCCTTTAGTACCATGCCCCTTCTTTCACCTTCCCTCCCCAACTTAACTGTCTTTGTTCCAAGTTAAAAGATCATCACGAGGTAGGGAAAAAAAAAACCCAAAGCTTTATAGCCACCGTTTTTCATTCCCACAAGGATATGTTTTAGAGGCTAGTGAGGCCCGTGTGAAAGTCTTGCTAGCAGTTTCACTGGCTTTCCTGGAGGAGAGCTAAAATGCCAGTTGCCAAGCAACACACGTGCCCTGGCTTCTTGCGACAACGTGGACTTGGGAAAAGAAAAATCATCCTACGATTGACTCGTGAAGGGGAAGCCAGGGCAGCAGCTCGATGCCACCGTGCTCTGCCTGTTCATCCGGCTCCTCTTCCTGGGGACAAACACGGGGTCACACAGACAAGGGAGCGCGCCCTCCGCAGCGTGCGGCCGTTAGCAGGCGTTCACGCGGGGGGGCCTCATGGGACAGTTGGTCTTTGTCACCTGCAGATGCCGTGTTTGGGAATTGCGTGCAAACTCGACGCGAGGGGCACTATTGCTGCGGCTTGCAGTGGCCCGGACGATGGGTGGCTTGACGCACGTGCTCCCAGCTGAGGCAGGGCAAGCCAGCCTCTGTATCCTCGACAAGGGTCCTCTCCAGACTGTCTCGTGCCATGTTGTTTGTGTACATGTGCTTTTTCTTGGTGGGTTCGCTGCTAAAATGGCTCCCAAGCACAGTGCCATGGGGGTGTCCAGCATTCCGTGGTGTGAGAAGGCCAGGACGTGCCTTACGAGAAAGTATGTATCTTCGAGAAGCCCATTCAGGGATGAGTTCTAGTGCTATTGGCATGAGTTCAGTGTTACCGAATCAATAACACGGGGCCTCTCACTGAGCGTTCATGAGGCTGCTCCAGGAAGAATAAGGTAACATCTAAAATGCATGATGAAGCTGCAGAAATATGGCTATATTTGTGGACTCATAAGATGACAGATCAAATTAAAAAAAAAAAAAAGGCATCGGGTACCTGGGTGGCTCAGTCAGGTAAGCATCCAACTTCGGCTCAGGTCATAATCAGTTCATGGGTTCAAGCCCCGCATCAGGCTCTGTGCTGACAGCTCAGAGCCTGGAGCCTGCTTTAGATCCTGCATCTCCCTCTCTCTCTCTGCCCCTTCCCCTTTCGTGCTCTGTCTGTCTCTCTCTCTCTCAAAACTAAATAAAAACATTAAAAAATAAATTTAAAAAAAAGCATAGTGGACAATATTGTGAGGCTGAAAAGCCAAAGAAATGTATGTGCCTATTACCCGGGGTCAGAAAAATGTTAAACCCTCCTCAGCTCATGTTTTACTCTAAAGAAATAGTGCACATAATTCATTATTTGTAAGAAATGTGTATTAAATCAGGAACACGTGGGACAAGGTTATGTGCCGATTCATGGACGGGAAACTGACCAGAGGCCCTCAGGACGCCCCCCATCCGAGTTCACCGCGTTGGTGCTCGCAGAAACTTAACAGGCCACCTCGGATGGTTAGAACTCACTGAAACGGTCAGGACTTCGCCCTGCTGGGACCTCTCTTCCCCTCGGAGACACGGTGAAGACACACCCTAGACTCGGGCAGGTGCAGAGTGTCCGCCCGGGGCTGGGACCTGACTGCCCGTCTGGCCGTCTGTCAGCTCTGGGGCGTCTATGACGCGCCTGCTGGAAACGTTTTGAAGGAAGAGGAGTGTTTGCCGCGGGGCCGCGATCTCCCTGCACGCCCCCTTCCCATCTCAGTCGGCTGAGGCCGCTCTGCCAAAACACCACAGGCTGAGGGCCCCAAAAAGCAGCCATGGATTTATTTCTCAGAGTTCTAGAGACTGGAGGTCTGATAGGTGTCAGCAGATCAGGTGTCCGGTGAGGGCAGTTTCCTGGTTCACAGACGGCCTCCTTCTGGTGACAGCCTCCCGTGGGGGAAGGAGCGACTGAGCTCCCCCGGAAGTCCCTGTTACACGAGCGCTCTTCTCGCTCTTCTCCTTGATGAGAGCACCGCCCCCATGACTGGTCACCTCCTCCCCTCCCCCCCACCCCCCGCCTGATAGCATCACTTTGGGGTTTAGGTTGCATTCAGTCCATAACATTCTCCTTCCATGACTTTTATCACTGACGATTTCGCTGGAAGGGAAACCCTGCTGTATTTTCTAAAATTGCCCTGGAGCCGAGCCAGAATGAGCCCCACGTCCCCGAACTGACACCTTAATCGGTTCCAGATGGAAAGGCAGACTCTGGCTCTGACACTGTGGTCTTCCTCCCCGAAGGCCCGGTGCACGTCACGTGTGAAAGGGCTTCCCTGTTTCCAAGGCCTGATCTCTGCTGATCGCAGCCCGCCTCTCACACCCGGCCTGCTGGGCTGGGAGGTCCCTCTCCAGGGAGCTCTGCGGGGGTGGCTGGCTGACAGCCTGGTGGGGACACGGACGTGAGGACGAGCCCCGGGCACCTGGCATTCTGAACACAGCACACAGCTATATGCACAGGGCACGGAAGACATAGAGGCTGCCTCTGCCTTCGGGTCACGGAAGCTTCCAGAGGTGAAGTGACATTTGGCAGCAGTTGAGAGGAGAAAACCAATGATGACGTCAGCAGAAGCCTTTTAAGAACGAGGCGGGGAGGTTGTTGGGACCCCTGTGGGAATGGAAATACGCGAGCCATTCCTCCTGGTCCGTTTCGGAACAGCCTGAGAGCACCATCTGTAAACGCCTGGGCCTCATTTTCACCACTCAGGGCCCTGGCCCCACACAGCACCTGCGGAGTCCTCAGAGGAGGCCTGCCTTTTAAAAAAAAAAAATTTCTTTTTACATTTATTTATTTTTGAGAGATAGAGAGAGACAGCATGAGCAGGGGAGGGGCAGAGAGAAGGAGACACAGAATCTGAAGCAGGCTCCAGGCTCTGAGCAAGAGTTCAGCACAGAGCCTGATGCCGGGCTCGAACCCACGAACTGTGAGATTGTGACCTGAGCTGAAGTCAGACGCTTAACCGACTGAGCCACCCAGGCGCCCCCAGAAGAGGCCTTTCTAGAAAGTTCTGCGTTCTGTGGCCGACGGGTTGAGTGCTTGGGCCCATGTCTGTGTTTCCCCCTTGTACTCGGGAACGCAGGCACCTTCTCCCGCATTACCACCAAGCAAAGGTACAAGAGGAAGAGACAAATGGTAACAAAGCCACTCTCGCAAACAAACCAGTGTGTTGCAGGCCCGCAGATCTAACACGCAAGTCTGTGGCTGGCAAACCACTGCCTCGCGGGGGCTTGTGCACAGACACTTGCAAAGAAGGGCCGTGTGTGCACACGGCCCGCCGAATCAGTCAGTCACAGAGCCGTCTCCTCTCTCTGCCTCCCGTTCCTGTCCCCGGGTCCCACTGTGCGCTGTGCCCCGTGCACGCACACAGACACGCAGGCTTACCCAGGACGCAGGGCACAGGTGTCAAGGCAGGTGTGTCTCAGGGACTCCATCCTCAGGGTGGGAAGCCGCTGCTTGGCTGCCTGCTACACATAGCCATGTGCTAGAAAACGATGTTAATTGGTACTCCATTTTTTTTATGTGCCGCTGCCCGCCACAAAAAGCCACAGTCCTGCCCTGACAGCCAATGTGAAGCATGACCCACTAATGCAGCCTTAATTCACTTTGTTTGGCAGAGAGAGCAAACTCACCATGCTGCTTCGCGAGTCCCTGGGGAACGTGAACTGTCGCACCACCATGATCGCGCACATCTCGGCGGCCGCCGGCAACTACGCAGAGACCCTGTCCACCATCCAGATCGCCTCCAGAGTCTTGAGGATGAAGAAAAAGAAGACGAAGGTAAGGAGAGCCCCGGGGGTGCGGTGGGTGAAGGCACTTAGGGGCCCTACGCTGGAGCCCAGCCAGTATTCCTGATCCCCGGGCACAGAGGGGAGGGGGGAGCCTATGCTGCCGATGCCAGGGGGTGGGGGGACAGTGAAGCACTCCCCCCAGCTCCACCAGCCACTCGTCATCCAGCCTGGACCCCTAACCGGGAGCACAAGGCCCATGCCAGGCAGCTCGGAAGGATGGGACACACTGGTGTCTCTCTCCCTGCCCTGGTCTCATGTAGATGGAGACCCTGTCCTGTGACTGGGCTGAGCCCAGAGGATTAATGCTTTTTGCTCACATGGTCCTGTTTTCCCAGCACTTCCAGGAATCATTTTCGGGCTCCTGGGCTTTGCCACGTTAAGTCAGTAGTTTCTGGTAGATGCGACGAGCCTGCCGGAGATGACCAGCCTTGCTTTCTTGGGCAAGAGGCAAAGCCAGGAAGTGGTGGCGTGACCTGAATGTGGCAGAGAGCTAACACGACTGTGGTCACCAGGCTGGCTGATAAAGTGGGAGACTTGTCCCTTTTTGTGTGTTTGTATGTGTGTGTGGGGGGGTGGGGGGCAGGGTGTATCAAAAACAGGCTTTTACAACCTGTGTGGTACAGAGTACCACGGATGGCTGGGGTGTGCCACGGCAGGGACCCTTCTGCCCTCAGGAGGTCACACGGGGCCTGGGCTGGTCTCCTCTCCCGAGGAGACTCTGTTCCCCGGCGTGCCACATGGGCTGTCCTTCCTACGGGAGGCCACGACGTGGCAAGCCAGGGCACGCTGGCCCAGCACACCACGAGGAACCGCCCAGCGAGGAACGCAGGGAGACGGACCGAGGTGGCCGGGGGTGGGGGGCGCACGGAGTCACTGTGTGCTCGCCGGGAGGCCCACGCCCGCTAACCTCCCCACTCTCGCCCTCAGTACACATCGAGCTCGTCCGGTGGGGAGAGCTCCTGTGAGGAAGGCAGGATGCGCAGACCCACCCAGCTGAGACCCTTCCACGCCAGGGCGACGGTGGACCCGGACTTCCCCATCCCCCCGCTGTCCAGCGACCCCGACTACTCCTCGAGCAGCGAGCAGTCCTGCGACACAGTCATCTACATTGGGCCCAACGGCACGGCCCTCTCCGACAAGGAGCTCACCGACAACGAGGGCCCCCCAGACTTTGTCCCCATCGTGCCCGCCCTGCAGAAGGCGCGGGGCGACAGCCGGCCCCCAGAGGCCGGAGGGGCTGCGGCCGGCAAGCCGGAGAGGGACTGTCTGAAGTGCAACACGTTTGCCGAGCTGCAGGAGAGGCTGGACTGTATCGATGGCAGCGAGGAGCCCAGTCAGTTTCCTTTCGAGGAGCTGCCTGTCCAGTTTGGGGCCCCACAGCCAGGCAGGTGTCCCCTGTTAAGCCAGGCGGCTGGGGCACACCCACTCTGCGAGGCCGAAAAGGAAGAGGCCGGGTCCGACGGTCAGCTGACCGACAGGGAAGGCCCCGACTCTCCCGCCTCCAAGATGCAGAGGAATCACTCGCCGGTCCCCGCCTCTGCGCTGCCCGGCAGCCCCAGCCCCGCCTCACCCAGGAGCATCCCCGGCAGCAGCGGCGGCCCACACACCGCTTCCCAGCTCACGCAAAGCCCCAGCCTCCAGAGCAGCCGAGAGAGCCTCAACTCCTGTGGCTTCGCGGAAGGCAAGCCCAGGCCAATGGGCTCCCCGCGGCTGGGCGTTGCCAGCCTGTCCAAGACCTCTGAGTACAAGCCGGCCAGCTCTCCCTCCCAGAGATGCAAAGTGTACACCCAGAAGGGCGTCCTGCCCTCTCCCGGCCCCCCGCCTCTCTCGGGCAAGGACTCCGGCGCAGTATCTAGTGAGTGTCTGCTGCAGCCTGAGCTGCGAACCCCCCCGGTTGGAATGAGCCCCCAGGTTTTGAAGAAGTCCATGTCCGCTGGGAGCCAAGGCCCCCCCGAAAGCCCGGTCGATGACGAGCGCCAGGCGGCGGCCTCTCCAGACCCCAAGAAGGAGATCCTGAGCACCATGATGGTGACGGTGCAGCAGCCCCTGGAACTCAACGGCGAGGATGAGCTGGTGTTCACGCTGGCGGAGGAGCTGACCATCAGCGGCATCCTGGAAGGCGGCCGCCCCACGAGCATCATCAGCTTCAACAGCGACTGCTCCGTGCAGGCCCTGGCCTCGGGCTCCCGGCCCGTCAGCATCATCGGCAGCATCAGCGAGGATCTCGAGTGCTACTCCAGCGTGGCGCCCGTCTCCGAGGTCAGCATCACGCAGTTCCTGCCCCTCCCGAAGCTGACCTTGGACGAGAAGGCCCGCGAGGCCGGGAGCCGACGCTCCTCCATCAGCTCCTGGCTGAGCGAGATGAGCGCCGGCAGCGACGGCGAGCAGTCCTGCCACAGTTTCATCGCCCAGACGTGCTTTGGGCACGGGGAGGCCATGGCTGATCCCCCGGCCTCGGAGCTGGGCGGCGGCCTCCAGAGCAGCGCCGTGGTGTGCCGGGAGAAGCCCCAGACGGGCCCCGACAATGTGCTCATCTTGTCTGATGTGGGGGAAGACTCTTTCAACAAGGGGACCCCCATCAAGGGCTGCAAGATATCCACGCTGGGCAAGGCCATGGTCACCATCTCCAACACGGCCAATCTGAGCAGCTGCGAAGGGTACATCCCCATGAAGACCAACATCACAGTCTACCCCTGCATTGCCATGACCCCCCGGCCCGTCCAGGAGCCTGAGGCGGCCGTCGTCAGCTCGTCGCCCAGAGCAGCCCAGCCCCAGGACGGCCGGGAACCCGGAGCCAAGGCAGAGATGAGATTTGAGGACCCCTGGTTGAAACGAGAAGAGGAGCTGAAGAAGGAGAGCGCCTATCCCGGTGAAGAAGGGGGCAGGTGTGAGGCCGCCGCAGGCTCCCCAAAGCCTGAGGCCAGAGCAGAGCAGGACAGGAAGGCGGGCCCCGGGGACAGGCTGAGCAGCAGCAGCGGTGAGGTGTCTGCCTCCCCGGGAAGTGACAGCTCCAGGAGGGTTGTGGACGGCTGTGAGATGGCCCTGCCGGGTGTGGCCGCCCAGAGCCCCATGCACCCCAGCAGAGGCCTAAAGTCCAGCAGCCTTCCCAGGGCTTTCCAGAAGGCGGGCCGGCAGGAGGAGCTGGGCTGCCCCTTCTACCACTGCCCAGCAGAGGCCAACGGGCTGGGCGCGTCGCCCTGCAAGGCGGCCCTGGAGCGGAAGGGGGCATCGCCCAAGCACTGTGTTCTGTCACGTCCCAAAGGGACGCCCCCTCTGCCGCCCGTCCGCAAGTCCAGCTTGGACCAGAAGAACCGGGCCAGCCCCCAGCACAGCGCCTGCAGCAGCAGCACCAGCAGCCCCTCGCACCCCGCGGCGCCCTTCCTGGGCCCGTTCCCGGACGAGGCGGGCGGCAAGGTCAAGGAGGCCAGCAGCAGCAGCAGGCTCTTCAGCGCCAAGCTAGAGCAGCTGGCCAGCAGGACCAACTCCCTCGGCAGGGCCACCGTCAGCCACTACGAGTGTCTGTCGCTGGAGAGGGCCGAGAGCCTGTGCGCCGGGAGCTGGCGGGCGCACGCGGGCAAGGACAGCACGATGCCCCGCGCGGGGAGGAGCCCCGGCCGTGGGGGCGCCGGGGCCTCGCCCACCGCCCCGGGCCCCGCGTCGCCAGCCGCCAGCGCCCCCGGCACGTCCGCGTCGCCCAAGGCAGGCACGTGCAAGATCTCGGCGGTGAGCAAGCTCCTGCTGGCCAGCCCCAAGGCGCGCAGCCTGGCCACCGCCACCACCAAGACGCTCAGCTTCTCCACCAAGTCGCTGCCGCAGTCGGTGGGCCAGAGCCCGGGGCTGGCGGCCAGCGCCAAGCCCACGTCCTGGTCCACGCAGTCCCTCAGCCGCAGCCGCGGGGCCGGGCCCGCCTGCAAGCCGCCCGCGCGCGCCGTCAACGGGCGCATCTCCGAGCTGCTGCAGGGCGGCGCGGGCGCGCGCGCGGGGCCCGACGAGCGGCCGGCCGCGCCCCCGCTGCCCTCGCCCTACAGCAAGGTGACGCCGCCGCGCCGGCCGCACCGCTGCAGCAGCGGCCACGGCAGCGACAACAGCAGCGTGCTGAGCGGCGAGCTGCCGCCCGCCATGGGCAAGACGGCCCTGTTCTACCACAGCGGCGGCAGCAGCGGCTACGAGAGCGTGCCGCGCGACAGCGAGGCCACCGGCAGCGCGTCCTCCGCGCACGACTCCACGAGCGACAACAGCAGCTCCGTGGGCGGCCGCTGCCGCAGCCTCAAGGCCCCGAAGAAGCGCTCCAACTCAGGTAGGCGCCGGGCGGACGGGCGGGACCCCGGGGCCCCCTCTCTGCCTCCCCAGCCCCACCCACGCTGGCCGCGTGCGCCCTCGGACCTCCGCGGGGAGCCCACCCGGACGTTGGAGCGCCAGGGGCCAGAGTTTCCGCGCCGCCTGCCCCGAGACCGAGACCGGGGCCTGTCTGCTCTGGGAGAGACGGTGCCACCGCCCAGGGCTTTCCGGGGGTCAGCTCAGAGTCCCCAGCCTCGTGGCCTCGCGGCTGCGGACACCAACATGTGGGGCTGGTGGCCCCGGGAGCGGGATGAAGCGCACTGATCTCCTTGGCCTTGCGGTGGGGCGGCCCTTCCTCTGCCCCCGCGCCTGCCCCCAGACGCACTTGTGGACGGTCGTGTGTACACAGCCACCGTGGGGCCTGAAGTGTGCCCCACACACACAGACACAGTGCACCAGCATAGTACACAGACACACACGGTGCACTAGCACAGCACACACACACACACACACGGTACACCAGCACAGCACACACACATACACACACAGTTCACCAGCACAGTACACACGGTGCACCAGCACAGCGCGCGCACACACGGTGCACCAGCACAGTGCACACACATACACACACACGGTGTACCAGCACGGTGCACGCACACACAGACACACACACGGTGCACCAGCACGGTGCACGCACACACAGACACACACACAATGCACACACACACACCGTGCACCAGCATGGCGCACCCAAGCAGCCTAGTGCCCCAAATGCATGATTTTGGAGAAAGTCTTTGCGGCTCTAGGAATCTCTCATCAAAAGCAAGTAAACAGTGCAAAGGAGATAATAACATGGTGATAAAGCCCACCAACTTGTTAACTGGAGTTGGAGTGACAAGTGACAGGACATTATGATGGATGAGAAAGAGGACCCAGGTCAGAGCGGGTGGCCCTTGAAGCCATGGGGTAGGTGAGGTGAAGGTCAGCCAGGAGCAGCCGGGACAGAGAGACAGGAGGCAGAAGGAACCGAGGACGACTCGAGCTACTTGAGAATTCTCCCTGATTGAGCTCAGCTCTTCAGCGGCTCCCACAGAAGTTACCCCGACTCGTTCTCTAGCACGAGAACACACTTTTAACAAGGCCTCCTCGGTTGAAGTGAAGGTCCCGCCCTCCTAGCTGGCCCCCTGCCCTACTGAGCCCTCCTGTGGGACCCCAGGCTCCAGGAGCCCTCAGAAGCTGCTGCCCCACAGAATATCCGTGGCGCCAGCATGTTTGGAATTAAAAGATGAGGTGAGTCCTCCAAGTGGGGTCTCCCTGTCCTGCAGCTGCGCCAGCAACTGCCCCACAGGCTTTTCCTCTCAACCATAGGGTTGCTTTTTCCCCTCCTCCCAACACAGGCAAGCACAAGCTCCAGAATGTTCCAACCCGAATGTAACACACGTTGTAAAGCATTTGTCTGCCTCAAATGGAAGAAATCGCCCTCATGATTCTAGATGCCCACCCCCCCCACGGCCACAGTGTGTAAGCGTGTCATGCTGTAAGCACGTCCAGGACTCGAGGCCGTTTCCCGGGCGGTGATGCGCTTTGGTGACGCCCCGCCCCAGGCCCTCAGCACCTCATCAAGGACCTGGGAGCGGTGCCCGTGTAACACAAGTGCAGAAAGAAAAGCCATTCAGGAATAACATGACAGCTGCTGTGTCCCCTTTTCAGGGCCGTGGGCACAAAAACATATTGATATTAGCCACTAAAAATAACAAGAAAGTTCACCTGAGCTTTTGCAGGAGGTGGAGGGAGGAGAAAGTCGGCTGGTCTTCCCAGTACTTGGTTGGTAAACCTGGTTACTCTGATCCACCCAGACTTCAGTCTTCAGAGCCCACATCATCCCGATGCCAGTTGTGGCCTCACGTGTGTTTGTATGTTAGAGTGTTTTCCCCACACAGTCATCTAAAGCCTTCCATCTGCCAGTCCCTTTTGTTCTTTAAGCATCTCTTTTTCCAAGACTTGCATTTTTTGGTGTAGCTGTCGTGCAGGGGTTAAGAGCTCTGTAAAACAGCTGCCTGGAGAGTGGCCAGCAGGCTCTGAGGCTGACCTTGCGTGGTGTCGCCTGCTTTTACGAACGACATCCTCTGAGCGTCTCCTGTCAGGTTAGGCTGTCGGAGGACAGGGAGTAGCATCAAAGCACCAGGCGAGGTGCCAGAGCACCAGGGGCACCAGACCTGTGTGAGCAGCTGTCTAGATCCAGGGCTCCGTAATGAACGTGGCAGTGGAGATCTGCCCATAGGTTAGGTGACCTTGACAGTGGACGTGGCAGTAGAGATGTACTCCTCACTGTTAGGTGACCTTGTCTCACTTATTTATGGTTATTATAAAGAGAAATGCTGGTTATCAGACACGATCAGCATAAATCACAAGCAGCTCCTTTAAGAGAAGCCATAAAACTCCCCAAAAGGAATTCCTAGCAGGGTGGCCGGATTTTATAATTACTAGAGATGTTTGAAACTGCAGAGGAGAACGGTGGTTATCTTTTATTGGAGATTACTTTTGAATTTGGAAGACTTTGGTGCTTTGGTTGGAAAATGAACTAGAAATATAGTACGAGGAGCATAACTTTGAGTTCTGAGTGCTCCGTAGTGCACATTACACCAGAAACCACCGAACGTCATTAAGCTCACCGTATCGGTCCCCAGAGCTCCATGTTGGTGGAAAGTACATGGAATTGGCCAGAGTGTGGTGCATTGAGGACTCAACCTCATGACACATGGGTCCTGCTAGAAAGCAGGAGACTTGGGGTCTTGGGCGACAGGGTCAGATGAACTTAACAAGGGGACGTTCTTGATGAATGTAACTTCCACAGAAAATTTAAGCACAGACCAAGTTGCATCTTCAGTGTCTGGCAAAATTGTAGTTGGCCATGGGGTGCCATTCTAGGCTCTTGACCAAGAGTGGGATGGTGTGAGACAGGCCGCGATTGCTTTTACCGGTGGATTTTCATCAGTCCGTCAGCAGTGCCCTGCCAGCCGGATGTGGTCAGCGACGTGGCTGTTAGCTGTGAATTAGACCAGCGACGGCCAGCCTGGCTGGGGAACACCCAGCAGGGGTGCGCTCAGTGGCTAAAAAGACGTAAGTCAGAGAGGGCCCCACCCGAGCCCCGGCCATATGCCGCCAGCCCTCTGGCATCACTCGTCAGGTGTCACGTGAACTCTCCCCAGACCTCTGGCCACTTCTTCACATCCCGAACTTTCACCCCACACCTGCCAGGTCACCCACTAAGCTCTCTCCCATCGCTTTCCTCCTCCCAGGCTGGCTGGGGAAAGCTGAGAATCAGGTCAGCAACTTGGCCTGGATGAAGTTCATTCCCACTGCAGCAGGCCCGCCATAGGAAGCCAGGGAGGGAGGGAGGGAGGGAGAGGGCGACCCAGGGAGCCTCCCTGTTCCGGGATGCACTGGGGCTGGACCTGTCTGGACATGAGCTCCCGTGAGGTGGCTTCCACGCCAGGCTCAGTCTGCTGGGTGCCCAGCACTGCCCTGGTGAGGCTCCCATGGATCAGTTGAAGACCCTTGATTGATTCATTGTCTGGTTGGTTGGTTGGCAGATGGTCCTCCAAGTGAGCTCAGATTTCTTTTCTCTGTCACCTCGCTGGTGACCAGTACTTTAAATGCCAACCCTGTCTTCTATATCCTTTGCTACGCTAAGCACCAGGAACCATGCCTACCCTTCTCTGGGTGCTGGGTAAACTTGACTGACCGATGGGATATCGGGTTCAGTTAGCTGAGCTGCTACACCAATATCTGGGACTAGTTACTCCTCACGAGGGCCGAGAACTCCCAGCTTTGTGGTGCTCACCCTCTGCTCTTCACTCGGTCCTCAGGTACCATCTTGTCTTGTCCTTTCCTCTCAACATAGCTGTGAACCTCAACATGCTCTGGAAGAATTAGGTCTTTAAATTTTTTTAGTGTTTATTCATTTTTGAGAGACAGAGAGAGACAGGGTGCTAGTGGGGGAGGGGCAGAGAGAGAGGGGGACACAGAATTGGGAGCAGGCTCTGGGCTCCGAGCTGTCAACACAGAGCCAAACGCGGGGCTCGAACTCATGAACTGTGAGATCCTGACCTGAGCCAAAATTGGACGTTTAACATACTGAGCCACCCAGACGCCCCAAGAATTAAGTCTTTAAAAAAAAAAAAACAAATCTGTACAGGCGACCATGTAAAAATCTCAAGGGTGCCAGGAATCCGGGCTCCTTCTGTCTTCTTTTTGTGTCATTTATGATTTTCATCTCATGACACAGCCATCAGGCCCATATTTCACCCAGGACGAAGGAGAAAGGAAGAGGAGGACAGTCACCCCCCCACCCCGTTCCAACTTTAAGGACACTTACTAGCAGTTGCCCATAGCACTTCTGTGAATGTCCCAACGGTGGGAACTTAAGGTGCAGGCACCCGGAGCACAGTCCCTTGCTGGAGGCTGTGTGCCCTGCCACTACTCAGTCTCTTTCATGGAGGAAGAAGAGAACAGGTCTTGGGGACCGCTAGCCATCCATCACAACATGTAAAGCGTGTTAAATAGGGTCTAACTTATCATCAGTGCTTAGCATAGTGTTGTTATAAACAAATAGGCAAAATGTTTTCTAGAACTCCTATTGCCATAAAACCAAACACTAGGACCCTTCTTCTGTAACCCAAACATCTCTTTTTAAAAAATTTTTTTTATGTTTTATTTATTTCCGAGAGAGAGAGAGAGATAGCATTAACAGGGGAAGGTCAGAGAGAGAGGGAGACACAGAATCTGAAACAGGCTCCAGGCTCTGAGCTAGCTGTCAGCACAGAGCCCAACAAAGGGCTCAAATCCACAACCGTGAGACCCATGACCTGAGCCGAAGTTGGATGCTTAACCAACTGAGCCACCTAAGCGCCCCCCAAACATCTCTTTAATTTCACTGTGACACATTCATGTTGAGCATGTGGCCAGTATGGCTCTCAGTTCTAGACCACATGTTTGTGCGTGTGCACATATTCTGGTGTGTGTGTGTGTGTGTGCGCGCGCGCGCATGCATGGGTGTGCACATGTGTATGTTTCATGAGTGGAGACCAGGGGTGGCTAAAGGTCAAGCAGGGAGTTTGTGAGCTTTTGGAGGTGAAGCGTAGGTGCCAGTTTAAGGGTTTCATTGTCAAGGTGCATGGCCAGGCATTGGCGTGTCATCCCAGGGTGCCCGTCAGGGTCCCCTGCCTCTTGCACCAAACAATATATACAAGGTTTTAAAAGATTGAAATTCAAAAAGATCCCCTTTGGGTTTGATTCCGTACTCAGGTTCTCAGAGACGGAGGCTCATCCCGGCGCTGTCCCTGGACACCCCCTCCCCCGTAAGGAAACCCGCCAGCAGCTCTGGGGTCCGCTGGGTGGACGGCCCCTTGCGCAGCACCCAGAGGGGCCTTGGGGAACCTTTTGAGATTAAGGTCTATGAAATCGATGATGTGGAGCGGCTGCAGCGGCGACGAGGGGGCAGAGGCAAGGTGAGCCCCCTGGTCCCCCCACCCTGGGTGGAAACCCCCCCAGCCGGCCCCCTGGGGCAGGTGCCAGAGCAGGGCCCTGAGAGGCCCGCTCAGACCCCTGGAGACTTCCCAGCAGGATCCTGGTGCAGGTGGGAGACGGTGGCTCTGCCCCAGCACCAGGGTGTTTGCACAGGACCTGGGAGAGCACCCCACTTCTCCAGCCCGGTGTCTAAAGGGCTCAAAGGCTGGGGGAACCGCTGGGGGCTTTTCTGGGTCCAGCTGGGAGCGCCAGCCACCTCCTCAATTTAAGAAAGGGCTGTGGCAGTCCTGCCCCATGGCTGTCTGATCTGACTCCGGCACTGGCAGAAATGTGGCTGGGCCAGCCCGGGTCCCTCCCGACATCCCAGTGAGGGGCCAGCTGCCTGTCCCTGCTGTGCAGGTAGCATTCCCATCTAGAAGAGGCTGTGAGGGTCCGAGCTGGGTGGGGGAGGCTCTTCTCCTTCTCCCCACGCATGCCCACCCCTTCTCATCTGCCTTGCAGGAGGTCACGTGCTTCAACGCAAAACTGAAAATTCTGGAGCATCGCCAGCAGAGAATCGCCGAGGTCAGAGCCAAGTATGAGTGGCTGATGAAGGAGCTGGAGGTCACCAAACAGTACCTGATGCTGGATCCCAACAAGTGGCTCAGCGAATGTAAGACCCCGCTTTCGTTTCCGTCCCTGGGACTGCTGGGTTACCCAGCAAAGCGGGCCTGGCACCCGGCCCTGGGCCAGGTGTACACGGACAGTAGCTCTGAGCCCACAGTCTCACTGTCAGGGAAGGTGGGAGGGGATGAGGCAGCAAAAAGGGGTGAGCATTGCTCTTGCAAGAATTTTTCTTATGCATCTCAGTCCAAAGCACCTGAAAATGAGATTTCCACCCCCCCTGCGTATGGCAGATCTGCCAGACATAAAGCTGTCTTACAGCTCTGCTGTTAGGCCACAAAATCACATTGCATATCTAGCCTGAAATACACAAGAATTTATAGAGCTCTTAATAGGGTAGAACGTCCGATCCTAGAAAATCCTCACAAAGAGCCCAGAAAGCAAGAAAAAACATTTTTGAGTGAAAAAAAAAAAATGAGATTCACCATGTTATTTCTATGTAATAGAAAGCCCAGGATGACAGTAACCTTCTCCTAACAATTCAGAACCATTTCGCTCTCTCTGACAGATTCAATTGTCTCGTATTTATTTGTTCCCAACCGTTGCATTTACTGCAAAATAAAGCTCAGATCGGGTTCCAACTATTTCATTGATAGGGGACCCAAGGCTGGGAGACTCAGTGTGTGGAATAAAATGCGTGACTGCCAAGAACCTTTCCCTCCCTGTCCAGCGCTCTCCAGCTCTTCCCCACGGCCCCTCAGCCTCCGTGTGCCTCCCTCCCTTCACCACCATCCCCCTCGCTCCCCCTCCCCCACCCCTCCCCTCCCTCATCTCAGTCACCCTCTCCCCTGTGTTCCCTGGCCCCAGGGAGAGTGTGGTGGGCAGAGCCTGCAGAAATAGGGAGTTTGAGAAAACCTAGGCCCAGAAGAAAGGGACAGAATTTGTCAGCCTCATGGTTGTGTCCCACCCCTAACAGCAGTCCACCTTCCAGAAGTTTCTTTTCCATAAGAATGGGGTGGTAACATCGCCCAAGCACCTCACTGCATCCTTGTGAGAATCCTGGGCGCCAACCTGAGGACAGAGGACAGTGACCAGTCTGCCAAGCCTCCCTCCGTGTCATAACCGTTTGTGGGATGACCACAGTCCCACAAACCTGATTGGACGTGGCTTTCACGCACACTAACTGTATGGCCTCCCTAAGCCTTGATTTCTGGAGCTGTAAAATGGGGCCTGCTTCATAGGGGGTTGCGAGGAGTGAGCGAGCAACTGCAGTCATGGGCTCATGACGCTGCTGGGTGCTTGGTGAAGGCACCGCATCTGGTAGTGCTGGTTGTTATTATCATCCCAGAACCGAAACAAGTCACCAACAGAAGACCGTCCCCTAGCACCCGCTTGCACAGTACACAGACTGTGCAGGGACACGGACTCACGCTCTCAGACATTGGCAGGGTGAGATGACATGAACAAGGCCATTTGCTAATGTCTGATCGTGGCATAAATATGGCGCCCAGTGCTTGCTTCTCTCCAACTTGTGGATAACCCATCTCCTTCTTTCACGAATCCCAAGCGCCTCAAGGTCCCGGGGGTGCCTGTTCCACACCAGATCCCCTTCATTTGCACTGTTTTCATTAAAACTTTAGTTTTTTGAGAGCTATTGATTCCTGAGGAAATTCGAGAACTGTCTTCGTCTTAAAAAGTCTTGTTTTTATCCCAGGATGGGAGCGAGCTTACCCATGAGCACAAATGTATAGATGCTCCCAGCAAACAATCACTTCCTTCATGCCTTTGTGTGTGTCCAGAACCAGAGACTGTTTGATGCTGAGAAAGGCAATGAACATAAAGCCACGTGAAAGCAGAAACACAGATTGGTACTTTAAGATAAAATGAAACCAAGAATGAGAAAAAAAAACAACAACAACAACAACAAAACCCAAAAGCCAAAAACAACAAAAACAAAAAACCACAAAAAACAGTGAGGCCACACACTGACTATTTGCTGGCAGTGGGTGATAAGCTGAAAGAAATCTAAGTGCTGGCATCCATTTTTATTTTCTTTCTTAATTCTGATGCCACTTTCGAGGTGGTCCAGTAACATAGCCTGAGATGGTTATGTCCTGGTGGATTCTGTTTTTAATTTTTTTAATTTTATTTTTTTCTTTATTGAAGTGCAGTTGACACGCTCTGTTATGTTAGTTTCAGGAGTGCAACACACTGATTCTATATGTCATGCTGTGCTCACCGCACCTGTAACCGTCTATCACCCAAACACCGCAACAATACCATTGACTTTCTTCCCTGTGCTGTGCCTTCCATGCTCATGATGTATTCATTCCCTAGCTGGAAGCCTGTGCCTCCCTCTCCCATTCACCCATCCTGTGCCTCCCTCCACTCTTCTCCCTTCTGGCAACCACCAGTTTGTTCTTTGTATTTATGGGTCTATTTCTGTTTTTCCGTTTGTTCAATTTTTCATCTCTTTTAAATTCCACATATAAGTGAAATCAAATGGCCTTTGTCTTTCCTATGTATAGTGCCCTCTGGGTCCATCTGTGTTATAGATGGAAAGAACTTAATTCTTTTTTGTGGCTTAGTAATATTCCATTTTGTGTGCCTGCGTGCATGCACACTATATATTAGCCATGCTGACGGTTTGAGGCAACACCTCATTGTGACTTTGATTTGCATTTCCCTGATGATGAGAGATGTTGAGCATCTTTTCATGTGTCTGTTGGCCATCTGCATGTCTTCTTTGGAAAAAATGTCTGTTTAGGTCCTCTGCCTGTTTTTTAATTGGATTATTTGTGGGTTTTGGTGTTGAGTTGTCTAAGCTTTTTTATATACTTTGGGTATTAACTCTTTATCAGGTATATTGTTTGCAAATGTTTTCTACAACTCAGTAGGTTGCCTTTTTGTCTTGTTGATGGTTTCTTTCACTGTGTAAAAGCTTTTTATTTTGGTGGAGCCTCAACAGTTTGCTTTTGCTTTTGTTTTTCTTGCCTAAGGAGACAAATCTAGAAAAAAGACCAATGTCCAAGAGATAACTGCCTGTTTTCTTCTAGGAGTTTTATGGTTTCAGGTCTCACATTTAGGTCTTTAATCCGTTTTGAGTTTATTTTTGTATATGGCGTAGAAAGTGGTCCAGTTTCATTATTTGCATGTAGCTCTCTAGTTTTCCCGAAGCTATTTATTAAAGAAACTATCTTTTCACCATTGTACATCTTTACCTCCCTTGTCATAGATTAATTGGAATGTATAAGCATGGGTTTATTCCTTTCGCTTACTGTCAGTTCCATTGGTCTGTTTGTGTTTTTGTGCTGGTATCATACTGTTTTGATGACCATTAACTTTGTAGTATAGCTTAAAATCTGGGATTGTGATGCCAGAACTTTGTTCTTCTTCCTCAAGATTGCTTTGGCTATTCAGGGTCCTTTCTGGTTCCATACAGATTTTAACATGATCTGTTCTTTTTTTTAATTAAAACATTTTTAATGCTTATCTGTGAGAGAGAGACAGAATGCAAGCTGGGGAGGGGCAGAGAGAGAGGGAGACACAGAATCTGAAGCAGACTCCAGGCTCCAAGTTGTCAGCACACAGCCCAACGCAGGGCTCAAACTCACAGACTGTGAGATCATGACCGGAGCTGAAGTTGGACACTTAACTGACTGAGACACCCAGATGCCCCTAGCATGATTTGTTCTAGTTTTGTGAAAAATTACTACTGGCATTTTGAAAGGGATTGCATTGAATCTGTAGCTTGCTTTGGGTATTATGAACATTTTAATAATAATCCTTCTAATCCATGACCGTGGTATATATTCCCATTTGTTTATGTCATTTTCAATTTCTTCCATCAGTTTTTTAATAGTTTTTAGAGTACAGATATTCCACCTCCTTGGTTATTTTCCACTCCTAGGTATTTTATTCCGTTTGGTGCCACTTTAAATTGTTTTCTGTATTTCTTCTTTGGCTAGCTCATTATTCTTGTATAGAAATGCAACGGATTTCTGTATAGTAATCTCATATCCTGCGACTTCCTGAATTAATGTATTACTCTTAATGGTTTCTTGGTGGAGTCTTTAGGGTTTTCTACAGTGAGTATCATGGGACTGCACATAGTGACAGCTTTATTTCTTCCTTACCAGTTTAGATTCCTTTTATTTCTTTTTATTGTCTGATTGCCGTGGCTAGGACTTCCAGTACTGTGTTGAATAAAAATGTCTGGACGTCCTTTTCTTATTCTTGATCTTAGAGGAAAAGCTTTCAGTTTTTTACCATTGAGTATGATGTTAGCTATAGGTTTGTCATAGATGGCCTCTATTATGTTGAGGTTGTTCCCTCTAAAATCACTTTGAGAGTTTTTATCAAGAACAGATGTTGTACTTTGTCATATACTCTTTCTGCATCTATTGAGATGATCAGGGGGTTTTCATCCTTCAATTTATTAATGTGATATATCATCTTGATTGATTTGTGAATATTGAACCATCTTTGCATCCGTGGAATAAATTCTACTTCTTCATGGTGAATGATTCTCTTAATATATTGTTGAATGAGGTTTGCTAATATTTTGTTGAGGATTCTGTATCTATGTTTGTCAGGAATATTGGCGTATAGTTTTCTTTTTTTTATAGTGTTGTTATATGACTGTGGTATCAGGGTAATGCTGGCCTCTTAGAATGAATTTGGAAGCTTCCTTTTGGAGTAGTTTGAAGAGAATGGTATTAACTCTTCTTTAAATGATGGGTAGAATTCACCTGTGAATCCATCTGGTCCTGGACTTTTTGTTTGTTGGAAGTTTTTGATGACTGATTCAATTTCGTTACTAGTAATCAGTTCAGATTCTCTGTCTCTTCCTGATTCAGTTTTAGAAGTTGGTATGTTCCTAGGAATTTGTCTGTTTCTTCTAGGTTGTCCAATTAGTTGACAAATTTTCCATTTGTAGAATGAAAAATCATTTCATTGTATTTTTTCTTATAATCCTTTGTATTTCTGTGGTGTTAGTTATAACTTCTCTTTCATTTGATTTTCTTTGTTTGAGGTCTGTCTGTTTTTTTTCTTGATGAATCTACCTAAAAGTTTATCAATTCTCTTTTTCTTTTCAAAGAGCCAGCTTTTGGTTTCATTGATCTTTTCTGTTTCTTTTAGTCTCTGTTTCATTTACTTCTGCTCTGATCTTTATTATTTCCTTTATTCTACCAGCTTTGTTCTTTGGGCTTTGTTCTTCTTCTGGTTCCTTTAGGTATAAGGATAGATTGTTACAGATTTTTCTTGTTTCTTCAGGTAGGCCTGTATTACTATAAACTTCCCACTTAGAACTACGTTTGCTGAATCCCAATTTTAGACTGTTGTGTTTTCATTTTTATTTGTCTCCAAGTATCTTTTTTAATTTCCACCTAGATTTCTTCACTGACACATTGGTTGTTTAGTAGCATATTGTTTAGCCTCCACATAATTGTGGTTTTCAGGGGTTTTTTCTTGTAATTGATTTCTACTTTCATACCACTGTGGTTGAAAAGATATTTGATATGATTTCAGAAGACTGAAATTTATTGAGACTTGTTTTGTGTCTTGACATGTGATCTATCCTGGAGAAGATTCCATGTGCATCTGAAAAGAATGTTATTCTGTTGTTTTGGGATGGATTGTTCTGTATGTTTCTGTTAAGTCCATCTGGTCTAGTATGTCATTCAAAGCCATTGTTTCCTTGTTGATTTTCTGCTTGGATGATTGATTGATATAAGTGGTATATTAAAGTCCCCTACTATTATTGTGTGACTGACAATGTCTCCCTTTATGTCTGTTAATATTTTCTTTATGTATTTAGGTGCTCCAGTGTTGGGTGCATAGATATTTATAATTGTTATATCCTCTTGTTGGATTAATTTCTCTGTCATTATGTAATTCCCTTATTTGTCTCTTGTTACAGTCTTTGTTTCAAAGTCTGTTTTGTCTGATAGATTTATTGCACACTGGTTTTTTTTTTTTTTAACTTCTGTTTGCATGGAATATCTTTTTCTATCCCTTCACTTTTATTTGCATGGCATACCTTTTTCCATCCCTTCACTTTAAGTCTGTATGTGTCATTAGATATGAAGTGAGTCTCCTGTAGGCAGCATATAGATTGGTCTTGGTTTTTTAATCCATTTTGTCATCCTGTGTATTTTGACTGGAGCATTTAGACCATTTACACTGTAAGTAATTATCAATAGGTATATACTTATTGCCATTTTATTAATTGTTATCTGGTTGTTTTTGTAGTTCTTCTCTGCTCTTTTCTACTTCTTCTGTGTTTTTTTTTTCCTTGTAATTGATGACTTATTTTAGTGTTATGCTTGGTTTTTTTCCTTTTCTTTTTGTGTATCTATTATAGCTTTTCAGTTTGTGGTTCATATTTAGCATCCTAAGTATACAGCAGTCTGTATTAAATTGAAGATCATTGAACACAGTCTAAATCATTTCTACTCCCTCCTCCCCATTTTATGTATATGTTAGTATATTTTACATATTTTTGTGAGTCCCTATAACTAATTTATTTTTTTAAATGTTTTTTAATGATTAATTATTTTTGAGAGACAGAGCTTGAGTGGAGAAGGGGCAGAGCAAGAGGGAGACACAGAATCCGAAGCAGGCTCCAGGCTCTGAGCTGTCAGCACAGAGCCTGATGTGGAGCTTGAAGTCAAAAACTGCAAGATCATGACCTGAGCCAAAGTCAGACACTTAACTAAATGAACCACCTGGCACTCCCTAATTTTTTAGATATAATTGGTTTTATTACTTTTTTCTTTTAACCTTCATACCAACTTTCTTAAGTGATTACTCTGTATGTTTGTTTTACTCATGAATTATTTTCCTTGCATAATTTTCTTCAAATTAAGGCTTTTTCTTTCCTACTTCGGTCTCTTTAAACACTTTTTTTTATGGGCTCTTTTAGTGGTGATTAACTCCTTTAACTTTTGTTTGGGAAATTTTTTATTCCCCTTTAATTCTGAATGATAATCTTGCCAACTAGATTATTCTTTGTAGTAGGTTTTGTTCTTTCAGCATTTTATGTCAGTCATGCCTCTCCCTTCTGGCTTGCCAAGTTTCTGCTGAAAAATCAGCTTATACTCTTATGAGGTTTCCCTTGTATGTAACTGGTTGCTTCTCTTGGTGCTTTAAAAATTCCCTTTATGTTGAATCTTTGACATTTTAATTATTACATGTCTTGATGTGGACTTTCTTGAAGGTCTTCTTTTCACCTTGTTTGAAAAGCTGTGCTTCCTTCTCCAGGGTGGCAAGTTCTATTATGTCTTCACATAAGTTTTATGCCCCTTTCTCTTTTTTTTCCCTTATGGGACCCCAGTAATGTGAATATTAGTACATTTGATATTGTCCCAGAGATCCCTTAACGTATTCTAATTGTCTCTTATTATTTTTACTTTTTGTTCTTCAGCTGAATGCTTTCCATTACTCTGTCTTCCAGATTACTTATCCATTTTCTGCCTCCTCTAATCTTCTGTTTATTCCCTCCTATCTATTTTTTTTATTTCAAGTATGTATTCTTCATCTCTAGTTCTTATTTATATTTTTTGGTCTCTTTGTTTAAGTTCTCATTGAGCTCACCCACTCTTCTCTCCAGTCAGGTTCAGGTGACCATTCTTATGACCATTACTCTGAACGCTTCTTTGGGTAGATTGCTTATCTCCATTTCCTTTAGTTCTTTTTAGTTCTTTTTCAGAGGTTTTGTTTTGGTCTTTCAGTTGGAGCATATTCCTCTGTCTCCTCATTTTGTTTGACTGTCTGTTTCTATGTGTTTATTCGCTCTCATAAACTTGAAGGAGTGATCTTGTGTAGGAATGTCCCCTGTGTTTCGACTCTGTGCTTGGTATCCTTGGCTGGCTGGCTAGAGCTTCAGCTGGTATGGGCTCGGGATGGGGCAGTCTGTGCTGGGGCTTCCCTGGTGGGATGGCTGGGGCTGAAGTGGTGCAGGCCTGGGGTGTTCCATGGCGCTTTGAACCTGTGTCACCTAAGCAAGATGGCTGTAGCTTTGTGAGCACTGTCCAGGACTGTCAAGTGTGTGCTGTACTGGGATCACATTGGTGGGACAGCTGGGGCCAGTGTGGGCTGAGGATATGGGGTCTGCTGAGGCAGCAGGCAGCTAGGGTGTGTCCACCCTGCTCCTGTGTGCACTCTCAAGGTGAAGGGGCAATGGAAACCATGACACTAGCCAGTGTTGTCATCCTAGGGAGAGTTCCAGCAGCTTCCTTGCCATTTGGCAAAGTTCTAGGGCTGGTTCCTCTATATTCTAGTTGCTTTTTAGAACTGTGGCTTTTGGGGGGCATCTGGATGGCTCAGTTAAGCATCTGACTTTAGTTCAGGTCGTGATCTCATAGTTTATGGGTTCAAGCCCCACGCCAGACTCTGTGCTGACAGCTGGGAGCCTGCAGCTGTTTCAGATTCTGTGTCTCCCTCTCTCTGACCCTCTCCCACTTGCACTCTGCCCCCCACCCAATATAAGTAAACATCAAAAAAATTTTCCTTTAAATGGCCCTGGTCAAGTCCCACAGCCTGTGCTGGAGGTGGATGGGTATGAGTTGAGCCTGAACTGTCGCCTGATCTCTCAGTAGAGTCTCCGTAAAACGTGAGGGGTCTGAAATCATAGTGAGAGTGGAGAGTCTCAGTGTAAATGCAGGCGGCAGGCAGAGTCCCATCCCAGCCCCAGGAGGGCAGCAGGCGGCAGCCAGGAGGTGACCTCTGGTGCCCTTCGCGCCTCCATCAGGTTTCTTCTTCTTTGCAGTTGACTTGGAGCAGGTCTGGGAGCTGGATTCCCTGGAGTACCTGGAGGCGCTGGAGTGTGTCACGGAGCGCCTGGAGAGCCGTGTCAACTTCTGCAAGGCCCACCTCATGATGATCACTTGCTTCGACATCACCTCCCGGCGCCGATGAGGCCCCGGCCCAGCCTGCCAGCCCCTGGCTGCCCGGGACCCCACGACGCACCCCTCGCCGGGCCCTTGGTGCCAGCGGCTCGGACACAGCAGAAGGAGATGAAGGTTGGTGCAAGTCTGGAGTGAGCGCTGAGCAGGAGGCAGTTTTATGGTGTTTTCTGTAGGAAAGGTGCGAACACCGCGCGTGTGGGAGGAGGAAACGATGGAAAGCCCAAGGATGTGGAAGCCCCGTGAGACTGAAAAAGCACTTTGAGGAACTTTCAAGAACTTGTTTATACAGGAGTCCTGCCGGCAAGAGACCTCTCTCTTCTCTGGCTTTGTGGGAAGGGGCGAGGGTGTGCGTAGGATCGCTGTCGGGAGCGAGAACGGAGCGGCAGATTCCCCAGAGCAACTGATTAAGTGCCTTGCAAATCTTTATTATCCAAACCTTTCTGTTCATACTTTCTCATGTACAGACGGTGCTAGTCCGGACAGTAACAAGCAAAAAGAGCCCCCCACGCATTTTTGAAATGTATTTACAGCTTGTTTTCTCTTGGTGTTTTATCAGATTTCTGACTTGCTGTTTCTACGTAAGTAGTGTTTGTAGATCTGTCCCCAATCAGTGTTGCTTATGAATAAATGTTAACTGTCCTTTACGGTTTTTCTGCTAAGGCCACTCACGCAGAGCATAGCGGCTGCACGGGCACAAGCCAGTGTCTCTGGAGAAGGTTGGAACAGCAGGTGGCACTCGATGCCACCCCTCGCGGGACAGGGACATGTGGGCTCCAGAGAACAGGAGAGGAGACAGGGGCCGCGTTGAAGGGAAAAGGAGCCTTTGTGACCTGGGCCGTATGTGCTGTTTGAGAGGGATGTTTGTTCCTGACACACCTTCACCCTCCAGGTCTGATGTGCGTGCCGGTTCCTTTACCCACAAACCCCAGGGGTTTTCGTGGCCCTCAAAACATTCTCCATAGTCGTTTTTATTCTGAAGACTGGATTGAGAGCTTGAACCAACTCAAGAGAGCCGTATTTTTTTTGTTTTCTAGTTTGGCGAGTTTATTAGAAGCAGGGGGTCTTTTCCAGTTGAGAGAACTTCTCAGGCCGGTACATGCTCAGAGACTGCGCCAGGATCGGTTCAGAACAAGAAAGGAGGTGGGGATCACACAGCGGCTCTGGCGTCCAGAGTGCTGCTTCAATGCACACAGTGCCCATTCACCCATGTCCCAAGGCCACCATCCCTAGAAAGGACAGGCTTGTCCCCTCGCGCCTGGCAGTGGAAGGCAGAGAGGTTTCCTGTGGTGACCCATGCACCCCTGGAGACCCAGAGCCTGGGGCCTTGTGCGTTGGGAGGTCCAAGTCTTGGGTCCCAGGAGCGTAGGACTTCAGCCTCAGACTGAGATGTTCATTCTGCCACAGCCCCCCTTAGGGACTCTCCTACGCATCGTAGTGATGGAGCCCCAAGGCACCGAGTGGTCAGGGGTTATCTGATACCAGCTGTGGAGCAGTAGGGGTGTCCTCTTACCTCCCTGGTCAGGGCCCTCGCCTGCTCATGGCTGAGGGTGCCCAGCATCTCGCAGAATACCATTCGCTTTTGCCCTCAAATGCAGCATATGGTCACAAGCCTGTTTCTAGGCTAGACAGTCCCTGCTACTCGGCACCTCAGCCCCAAGCTGCTCCCTAAAGGGACAGACCTGTGCGTGTCTTTGCCAGTGACACTCAGCCAAACTCGGTACCTAGGAACCGATGTCTCGTGAGCCTGGCTACCTGAGCCTTGACCAGCCAGAACAGGTACAGATGGCACCCATGGCTCAAGTGTTTGGAAGTCAGCCTCCTAGACTGGAAGCGAGCCCCACGGACGACAAGTCAAGCTCCTCCTAGACTGGAAGCGAGGCCCGCGGAGGACAAGTCAAGCTCCTCCTAGACTGGAAGCAAGCCCCGTGGATGACAAGTCGAGCTCCGCATTGTCAGAGCCTGCTCCTACGCAGAGGGACACACAGGATGTGCTCACGTCTGAGAGCCCAGTGGGCGAAAACACGGCAGAAGTGCTCCGGAATGGACCGTTCTCCTTAGTTTAACATGTGTGTCTGTCACCTTGGGAAACAGGGCCTCCCCACCCCATTCCTCAGTCTTAACCCCAGCCTACAGGGCAGTACAAGGCTCTGGCCACATCTCTGGTCTCACAGCACCTGTACAAATGGGCTTGTTTAACGGTAACGTTGCAGAAGCTTCTGGATCTTGGCCAAGGGATGCCCGTCTTTTGAGCCTTGAGTTTGCATTCCCCTTTGGTTGCTGCTTTGAAATATACTGCTTCATGAAAAGCCTCTAACTTGGGAGTTGTCAAAGGTGAGTATTCTAGTCTTCGCTGGAAACAAATTCACTCGATGAGAACCCCACATACTCAGCATTTGCCCAGGCGCATGGCCCCCAGCCCCGAGGTCACCGCTGCACAGGCTTCCCCAAGAGAGGGGGTGCTGGCGCCTTCCCTGGAGTGAGGCCAAGTAGAAACATCTATAGAAACTTAAAATCTCAATTAGTAGAATCAGTCCTACTACTGAAGCATTTGTAGCATCTCTACGACAGAGCAAAAGCGTTGACTGAAACCAAGAGCTATCTTACCGTGTCCGGTGGGCTTCCCCAGGACGCCACGCCATGGAACATCTCTCAGGATGTCGTCAGCTGAGGTGGAGACTACAACTTGGTGTGGAGGTTGTCCGTTCTGGGTTTTTCTTTTCTTTTCTTTTTCTTTGATTCTTTTAAACCTAAGAAAGCTGCAAACATTTTCATGTACCAAGTATTGACTAACCATGTGCAGACGTCAAGAATTTCATGCTGTCATGTGCTGGTTCCTGGTTCTACCTATGAGTTGACCGCACAGAGTATGCTTGTCAGGCACAAAAAAAGCAGGTGTGGCCAGTTATCCCAGTACCTGAAGAATGCCTCGTTCAATGACCAGATAAGGGGTTCCACATTTTGCTTTGGGTGACAGAGGACCCAAGAAGGCAAGGAGAATGGCACAGAACTCCCTTCCATCATCCACATATAGAAGGACCAGAAGCGTCTTATTTGAAATTAACATTTCGATGCATAACGCCTTAATTCCTTCTCTGAAATCTGCCCTCCACCCTTCAAACAGTTCAGCGTGAGGCGAAGCATTAGCAGAACAAAACTCAGACCGACAAAGACAAAAGGGAAGTCGTGATATGGTTTCCCGGGGGAGTAAATCCATCTTGCTTTTCATGATGCTGCTTCGTGCTGTGACTGAGTGACAGCTGGCTTTATCCCAGGTTTCTGGTTCCCACCTGAGAGCTGCAACCTTTGATCTCCTTGCCCTTGAATTCCTTCCTCCATCAAGGAGAAGCTGTCGCTAACTTTCGTCTCTTCCAGGTCTGAAATCAGAGCACCGCGTTTGTTTTATCTTGAGTTGCTATTCTGAACACGGTGAACTTGGTGCAGATGTGGGGTGGGGATGGGAGGGGTCATTCATACAAGGGACCCTGAGCTGGTAGAGGGTGGAGAAGGGGGAGAAGCTGGCGGCTCAGCGCGGGGAACCACGCAGGCAAGAATCTGACCATTCGTCAGAAATTAGTCTTAAGCTTGAAGTCTGTGCTCCTGGAAGGTGACAGTGACTTCACTGTAGCTACAAATACCATCCGAGCAGGTGATTCCAAAAGTACAACACCCGCACTCACATCTTGTGCCCACTCTTGGAGTTCTGGTCGTGATGAATAAGAAGCCCTTCTTCAGATCCTAAAGCTGATGGTGAATTTGGATTAATCCGTGACCCTTAAGTGTCACTGTGTGAAAGCTGTTCACTGAGCTAGGCTTCGTGGGACAGAGAGCCAGGCTTCCAGGAGCCAACTGACTGGTCGCTGCAGACACGTGGCCAGTGTCATTAGCCATGGCTGATGTGTGATTGAGGCCCCACCGAAAACAATGTGGTGAATGTTTTAAAGTTCCTTATTCCCAAAAGGATTTCGGGCTGTGAAAGAAATGACTAAAGATGAGTCCATTTGACAACTGAAACCCGAAGAAATCATGAAGAATGTCCACATTGTTCTTTCATTCTGGAATATTCACCCGCTCTGAGCATATGCTAAAGGATTTCCTCACTTTTAAAAGCAATTATCTTTTAAACCCTGAAACCATGTCAAGTAAGAAACAAGTTGAAAGTCTTGTCACAAATAGCTGATGCTAAATAAACTGCCCGGTCCCACTGTCCCCGGGACCTCCCTGCCACTGCCTGGCCTCCAGCGATGGAGGCACACTACTCACCACTGCCACACGGGAGGCCTGGCTGCACAGAGAAGGCCCAGTGCAGCCCACTGTCTGTCCCAAATGAAGCAAAGCCAGATGCCCAGTTTCATGGACCCTGCCAACAAATGGTCTAAAGTGGTTTTGGGGGTAGGGGGAGGGAGGTGGTCAGAGAACAGGCGGTAGAAATATTATGTTCCTCCGGACAATAATCTCTCTTTCCCCTCCTCCAGCAGGTATCCGTCAGCATTCATGGGTAAGAACTCACAAATCTATGTCACTTAGCAATTTTCCGGACAAAAATACATATATATTTTTTGAAATGACAAACTGTCCATTCCCAGATAAAAGCCTAATTCCAATCCAGGAGAAGCCCGTGTAACTCAAGCCCTTCTTCTCAGAAAAGTTTTTTCCCATTCTTAGAAGCTAGTTTTTCCATCCCTGAACAAATACATTCTGCCCTCCTCAGAACCGCAAACGATGTCATAATATCTGGCCCAGAATGGCGCTCAAGGCAGTAGAGAGCCTTCGCCACTCCAGACGGACTTGTGCCCGTGCGTAGAGGGGTGAGTGCTCAGACTGAGTTCATGCAGACACAGCTAAGAAGACTCATGCCTTTGTTCCCCACACGGCTAACCAACAGCCCACAGTCAACTTAGGAGGAAGTTTAATTTATTTGCAAACTCAGGATATTGTTTTATAGCATCATTTATATTGTATCATTTATTTAAACATCACGCTTGGAAATGGTATCCAAATGCTATGCATTAAAGTGTAAGTTGGGGACATCTGGCCGCTCTTCCCCCTCCCCCTAGTGAGGTCGGCTGATGGAGACACAGGCCCCAGGGAGGAAAGACAGATAAATCAGGAGAGCAGGGATTAGGGTCCAGTCCTCAAAGCACAGGGCTAAGTTCAAAATCTAAGCTGTTTCTATGGTGAATAGTTGAGGGGGGAAGGTCCTTTCAGTTTGAATTTGATAATGAATGGGCTTGGAAATCGGCCTCCACAGGCCTGGATGGAATTCCCGAGAATTCTGAGGAAAGTGTGGACAGTAGTAGGTTGTCGCCGTCCCTAGAGAGCCCTACCTGCCCGTCAGGTGCTACGGAAGGGGGTTTGGGAAAGCGATGAGAGTTCCTTCCCCCAGATGTGTATAGTACCTGTTTTTCCTGGAGAAAGCAAAGCACTTTAACTGAGTCTTACAGCCCGTAATACTTAAGGCATCTTGTCCCCTCCCTGGGTCCCTGAGAGGCAGGGAGGGGCTGGGGTCAGTAGTCTCATTTGAGAGGCAGCTATACGTAGGAGAAAAGCCGTGAGCCAGGAGTAAGGAAGCCGGGGGGCCAGGCCTGGTTCCCTCCCTCGCTATGCAACCTTGGGCCAGTCGCTCCACTTTGCCGGGCCTCGGGCT